AGAGGCATTGAAACCAAATATCCTGATCTGATTTGTGAAGCCCATGCGATGGCAGATCTGAGCCACAGGGGAGAAAGCTGTTGATTGCTAATTTGGACTCCAAAGCACTAACCAGATTGGGGTCCTAGATGATGGTCTTGTGCAGACACCCATAGCTGTTGAGTACTCATGGATATAGCAGCCCTGTCATGTACAGGGGACATTATTCATAGTAGTTCTCTCAGTCTTCTGGCATTTATCATTGTTCTGTCATTTCTTCCATAATATTTCAGGAGAGTTGAGTGTAGATGTGCAACAGATGTCCCAACTATGGACACTTGATAGTCACTTATTCTTAACACTTTGGGCAATTGTGGTTATCTGAAGTAACCTCCCTCTGCTGCAAATAGAAACTTTTTTGATGCCAGCTGAGAGCTACACTAGCCTATGGATATAAAGATAAGTACTTATAATGAAGCTGGATAGTCTATCCATTTAGCACAATGAGAGTAGTAAATTCTCCTCCAGGGTCTATCACCTATCCAGCCACTGGTTCTTAGCTAAGCGTAAAATACCAGCAATGAGTTCTCTCCTATTTAGTGGTCCTTACTACAATCAGACATCAGTTGGTTACCCCCAAGATACCAGTGCCACTATTGCATCATTGAACATATATCACCAGAACAGTAATTGTTTTAGTTGACAGAATTGACAGCTGGGTAAGATTATTGATAACTTTTTTCCCCATCAGGCAAATTTCAAGGCACCTGTCATGCTATGAGAACAAACCATCAGGGACGGCTTCCAGATCAGTGCCATCTTGATTCCTCCAAGTCCTGTGACTGAAGTGTACGATGTCTTCAGCAACAGGATCTTACCCTCAAGTACTTTAAGGTAACCAAGAACAATGGCAAATACCTACATTAGTTAGCATGAATCTCTTGGATCACAGAGTATGCAAAATAAAATCTATATCAAGTTAAATATAATTATAAAATTCTGTGTATGCTGTTTGCCCCCAGGACTTCTCAATTTCAGTCCCACTGATATTTGAATTTAGAAAATTTTTAGTGAAGTGGTTTCTTGTGCATGATAGGATGCTTATGTAATATCTCTGGACTATACACAGAGAACACTAATAGATAGTCCTCTCTTCTTCTGTGTGAAATCAAAAATCATACCACATATTGCCAAATGTTCCATGAGAAACAATAGAAGCAAGTTATTTAGGTTCTTGGTGTCACCATTAGCCAAAAAGCAGATAATAACAATATGTTTCCTCTACAATGACAATGCAGATTTATTAACTCATACATTCATGGTAGAAAAGATTCTGGCTGACAGCAAGTGGTCAAAGCATCAGAACAACTGGTGTCATATCAGTAGCAGTGATGAGAAGAGTAAGATTAGACAAAGCATGCTTTATTTGTGTCTTCTAATAGGAGCACATTTGCAGCCTAGGTCCAAAGCAGCAAATTGCATTTTGTCTGAAGGGCAAAATGAATTTCTTTGGTTTTTTTTTTTTTTGTTTTTGTTTTTTGAGATAGAGTTTCTTTGTGTAGTCCTGGCTGTCCAGGAACTCACTCTGTAGATCAAGCTGGCCTCAAACTTACAGAGATCCACCTGTCTCTGCCTCCTGAGTGCTGGTATTAAAGGCATGCGCTACCACCACCCATCATGAAAATGAATATCTTTATCCATCAGATATTAAATAAGTTCTCACTTTGTATCAAGAATGCCGCTCAATTCTGAAAATAAGCTAACAAACTTTTCTAGTAAGGGTGTGTCATTGGTAATAAATAATGAAACCAACAAAGTAAAATGCAAGGGCAGGTGAGGAGAGAGGAGAGTAGCAGAAAGATAATAAAACGCGGAAAGACAAAGAGGTATGTCATCAGACAGATAATCGAACAAAAGGGAAGAGGGAAAAATAAGCAAAAAAAGAGACAATAAAGGACTACACACGGAAGAGGCAGACATCATTGTCCAGTCTATCATAGAGGCCTCCAGGTCCTGACACAGCAGGCCAGCTAACCCAACTGCCAGCTTCAAAATGTCCACATTTCCCAGAGAAAATAGCACACCCTTTGAAGTGTACAGCTGAGTTTGTGTACGAAAACAATTCGATTGCTCAATTAGCAAATAATAAACTGGTAATCAGCACTCACTCTGAGCTTTGGGAAAGGGACAGGGAAGATGGGAGGGTGGAATTGAGACCTCTGCCAAGCAGACATTTGACCTATTATGCCACAGGCAAGTGTGTGAACTTGTAAAACCTGTCTAGTAGCATAACTAACTCTGCAACACACCACATGCACATCACGGACACACATGCATGGGGACATGCATTTGCGTGTGTGCGCACACACACGTAAACACACACACACACACACACACACACACACACACACACACACACACACACTGCCTGGCCTGGAATACAGATGAATTTTTAACAAGCCAATGGTAGAGAAAGCACATAATCGTGAAAGGAAACCTTTCCCTGGGCCTCTTGTTTCCATACAGAGGGACATCTTTCAGTGTTACTCTAGTCTCTGTTCCAGTTCCCTGATCCCTTAATGGCAACTAGGACAGCTTATATATATGAGCTCAGGAAAGAACAGTGTGTGTCCAACTTTAGCAGCTTTCTTTCTTCTTTTTCAGTATCTTCCCATCAATGAAAACATGTAAGTTAAGTGGAGACAAGGCCTGTGATATGCATGCCCGATGGCAAAATTCCTTAATTTATTTGCCATTCCTACTTACTGGATCTTCTCAAATTCCAGTGTGAGCCTGCTGACCCTCAGCAGAAATTATACTCTCCCTTTTCTCAGCAAACAAAAATCATTACAAGTTAAAATAGAGCATGGTTTCATACTGGAAAATCTCTTGAAATTATTGAGTACAACCTCCATCAGCACACATTGGATAAAAAAATATGGAGACCTAATAAAAGTAAGTTCACAGAGGTGATGGTGATGATATTGATACTTAAAATCCTGGGACAGTTACTGTATTTTAGGTTCTAATTTATTTTAACTATAGCATTACTACATAATGTGTGAAAAGATGGGTTCTATTAATATGCTCAATATATAATAAAAGTGAAGCAAAGAGAGTCAATATAAAGATCATTCACTTTAAAATTGACTAGGTTAAGATTCAGATCCATGCATTCTAGACTCAAATTGTTCATGACCCTTTTCAAAATCCCTTATCTGTATAACAAGCAAGCAGATTGTGGTCAATGTCAGAATAAAATCAAATTCGCTTAGAACATCAAGGATTCTAAATAATGGGAATGTGAAATTAAGACCATATGAAAAGGTCTTGAATGATTATAGCCATAAAAAAATAAATTGGGTACATAAGAAAAGAATGATGTAAATAAAAGAACAGACACACAGAATTCCCACAAATAAGAAAAAATGAAAAGAGAAAATCCCAACAGGGGAGTAAAACATAAAATAGCTACAACTAATACTTTAGAAAAGAAATGATGTAATAAGTTTGAGAAAAATATCTATGAAAACAGAGAGAACAAGAGAAGCAAGAACAAAAGGAATGTGAGGCTCCAACAGGGGTCAAGATGTGTCTATTCATAATTTCATAAGGAGAGAACACAAAGAATAGAGACACACAAGGTGGGGTGATGTCTAAGAATGGATGGTGAGGCTTCTTAGTATAATCACCATTTTAATTTACTGCTACACTTATTCAATATATTGAAATCCAAATATGAACCTCCTTACCACAGGTTTCCAGGTTCAGTTTACAATAACCCTTAGTTCAAAACAAATCCTAAAGAAGAATGCATCTCATGTTACACACTGAAAAATGTCCTAAGATTGCTCAGAGAAGAATGAAAAATAACTGAAAAAGAGTGCCTCAACATATCATCCTAAAACATATCCCATTAAAAGCATTGAACAAGAGCAAGGATGACTATATGCATAGCAATGAGTTTATAAGCAGGATAAATAAGAGCAGATCTGAATCTAGGCACCTTAGTGAAAAATGCAGGGAATTAAAGGAAAAAAGCAGCCATAGGTGGAGCGTAATGAATATATTTCAGACCAGTATTAAATTCTTGACAGAGATATTAAAAATTAATGTACCATAAAGTAGTGTTTCATTGGAACATAGATAAGAAAAGAGATGTCAATCTAGAATTTTATACCCACTTAAACTGTCAATGAAGAGATGATAAAATAGACATGATAAGTTAAAATTTGAGAGATTTAGCCCTTGAGAGATCTTCATCAACAAGTTAGTAAAGAATGAATAAGTTTAGGTAACTCAGAAGGAAGATGCATGCCACAAAGAAAAATAGTCAATTTTTAAATGGATAAGCTTGATATAAACCCAAGCAGTTAAGTTAACCAGGCAACAGTGACTTTTATCAATTTACACTTAGCACAATGAAAAGATAATGTTCTAAATTATCTATCAACAATGGATTGATTAGTAAATGAGCGGGAGAATTAAATAATTATAAATTTATTGTCTCAATCCAAAAAGAGAGGGAAAGATGCTGATTATCAACAGCCATGCTGAAGTGTACTAAAAACATGGAAACAGTCAGGAAAAAAAAAAGCAATGTCATAAGGGTTGCACTTAAACTTTTCCAACAGAAATCAAAACATTTCCTGACCAGGAAAAGACTCAAAGCACAGAAAGCCATGTCTTAGCAAAGACCAACAAGCATCAAGATGTGTTTTTGTAAACCACAGAGGCTCCAAATGGGGTCACATAAAAAGTCAGAAAAGAGTGCTGTTGAGATTCAGTGTACAGCCCACTGCACTCCTGATAACTCATTAGAATTGTCTTTGTTGTGAAGCCTTAGGAAAAACTCTTAAAACCTAAGCATTCTGAAAAGTTATTTTTCTCATTCATTCAGTGTTGGCTTACCTTTGGACAGCTCTTCAAGTTTCCCCCCAACTCAATATGAGATCTTCTCCATGAATGTCCCTGAAAGAAACAACTAAGACCAACTGGAGAGATATGCAGAAGTTTCTCACCATCTCAACTGAGAAGCAGGCAAACTCTATGTCCTCTTGTTCCATTGGCCAGAGTTGGTCACATGATTACTTCTAAATGAAATGATACAGGGAAGTCTAGTCAGCTAATGATAGGAAAAGAAAAGGAATCAGAAAAAATGGTAGGCACCAATAATAATGTGAAGAGTTTAAGGTGTCACTTTTTAAAATATCAAGCTAACTTGATAGAAGATGTTTCATGTCAAAAGTAAACAATCTTAGGGACTTTATCCCCATCCTCCCCATCCTTACATGGGGAGCTGAAGGATTACTCAAACCCATAAAAATCCTTTACAATGCTCAAGACTTTGTTCACAAAGCATTGTAATACATTCTGTTACTTGACACCATGTACTTATTTATCGTGCACCTATCTATGACAAATATAATAAACAAAGGAAGAATTTAAAAAAGAAAATTCACAGATGTTTAATGACCTCTTTGGGATTCCCCCAAATAAGAAACAAGTACAGTAACTCTGGTTTCTTGTAACAACTTCAGAACTTTCATCAAGAGACAATATTTTCACTCTTATGGAGTCACTACAAAACACTATCCATGCAGATTAATAATCAGTGATGAAAGATATTACATAACTGAAATCAACTTCAGGAGAAAGTCATGGGAGAAGAGGCAAGAGAAAGAACCAGATGAGATAGATCATTATAAACCATTTTAAGGGCATTGACTGTTGCTGCTGCTAGAGAAAGAGGTAATCATAGCTGTATTTTGAATGTGAGAGAGATGAGACCTTCTTAAATTTTTGAAGTTGGACTATCCCTAATGTGAGCAGGGAAAAGAATTGAGAAACTTGGCAAAGTTCTTAGAATTAGCAGTGGCGTGACCCAAAATACCTTAAGAGTAGATGGCGAGTATTATTCAACTTTGGATATGTTTGAAGGAAATTTTAAGAGATTTTTATGGGCAAATTGTGTAATGTAAGAGAGTGGAAGGATGTTAGTAAATTACATGGACATAGGTAGTGAAGAATATGAACAAAACAGTTTAGAGTTAAAAAAAGAGATGTGAATGAGTGAGTGTCACAAAGATGGGTAACTATCAGCGTCTCAAGATGCATGTCAATTACTGTTCACTAGACGAGTAAACAGTAGCCTTTTCCAGTAAATACCCCCCCCCCAAAAAAAAAAAAAAAACTTGAGAGACTTCTGTCCTGGCTTTAGTGAGACTGAACTATAGAAAGCTGTAGCTTATTTGGGTCTATCCCGAATTTCTTGCTCTCCAGTAGAGGTTTTTTTTGTTGTTGTTTTTTTGTTTTTTGTTTTTTGTTTTTTTGTTTGTTTTGTTTTTGTTTTTGTTTTTTTTGTTTGTTTGTTTGTTTTGTCCTGCATCCCACTTCCCCATGTGTTGGAGGGAAATAGTGTTCATCATGAAAGATGTCTCTGTTTCTAGATCTGGAAAGAAACAGTAAGGAAGTGAAACTTATAACACCGCTTGCTCAGCATCCATCTCTCTCCCTTTTAACAAACCCTCACACAAACTTTCTGCTATAAGCTCTTTGCAAATGATGATTAACTTACGTTGCTGCTACAACTGACGGTGATTTAAGAGGACAATGATTCAAATGCATTGACTTGGAAATGGATCCAATAATGTGTCAAGTTTTAAGATCTGTCTTGAATCAGCATGGTTAATATGATTTATTTACATATAAGATCATGCTGGTGCGTACTTCAGGGGAAGAATAGTATCACAATAACAGTAATAGTCAACATTCTTAATGGTGCAATTTTGAATGCAGAATTTCACCAAACCACTTATTGGTCCAATGAGACATCCATTTTATTTATTTCCCTTTTGACAAACAAGGAAACATAGGCACAAGAACAGAAGATGTTTGCTTGCCCAAGAGCACACAGCTAACACATGGCAAGGTGAGTATTCCACTAACCTGACTCCAGAACACACAGAATGTTTGGCTCCTTTCTGACTTTCTGTACAATATTTATTATCTGAAGTTACCACAACAGTGTATTGTCATCCATGCAATCATGGATAGCAATAAAGCAACTTCATCCTGAAAAGGAAAAGTATATGTGATCACTGGTATTGAAGAAATATCTACAAGGTGGACACTAGGAAGTGGTTTTAATCTGTTGATGGCATAATGAAGATCTATTAGTTAAAAGCATCCTAATGTTGTTTTGCCCTCCACCCTCCACCACCAGTGCTGTTGCCCACAGAAACACAGTGTTCACTTCTCAAGTCTACACAGGGTGCATTCACGTAGCTGTCAGGGTTGAGATATATACAGGAAATTTGGTTTTGAAATTCTAACCATTTGTGTGCCCAAAGTACACCCTACAGAGTGTCTGTACATGCCTGGAGTCAACAAGAGGCTACAAACAAAGGTCATGAGATCCTTTAGGTGCTTCAGAAGCAATATCTCAAATAACAGAGCAAAACCAGTATTTGCAGCCATGAAGAATCTTCATTCTTCCTTAAATATAAAGTCAAAAGCTCTAAGCATTTTAAGGGCTTGACTTTTAAACAGAAAATATATTTGAAAATCATTTTTCTGCCACTAATGCTGTATAAGATTTCTTCAGTGGGCCATGAGTTTCTTTCACAGTATTTAAAACTCTTAGTCTGATAAAGGACATGAGTTTAGTCTGAATTCTTTGTGTCTCAACATCACAGAGACATCTACATAGAAAAGACAGCCCTGACACAGCCTGGACTCCTGGTCAGACTATGCCTATAAGCACATTTGCTTGTCTCCCACCTGGAATCATCTTAAACTTTATATTTTATACTGAATTTCATTTCTTTTTTTTCTTCCTCCCTTCCTTCCTCTATTCTTCCCTCCCTCCCTCCCTCCCTCCCTCTCTCCCGTCTCTTTCTTTCTAAGTCATCAGATTTTGCTAAAGTCAGTCCTTTTCATTTCTGATAAACTAATGTCTCCTAAATTTTCCTTTACCCTAGGGGATGTGGACATTACCAACTCTAACCAAATTAGAGTCATCAGCTAATGCTCACATACATAAGAGTGTTCTTCTTCATCCTCTTCTCTGTCATGGGAATTCCTGTCTAAACTTCAAGCTCCTGCTAAGATATCACTTCCTTGTAGTGTATTTCATGATTGCCTTAGGCAGTCTCAGTGTGGATCTCACTTTCACTACAGATCTTGTGGATGTCTGATGCTTCATGTCTTTGTATCCCTCCATCAATACTATGAACTCATAGGAGAACTCTGGTTCAACTTGCTTAACATTTCCTAATACATAGAAAATTTTAAAAATAAATTTGGGGTCCAGAGATACAAGAATATGCACCTATAGTAAGATGGCCCTCCCAACCACCACTTGCCTAGAATTTTCTATTTGAACACCTTTAATACTACCATTCAAAATCAGGAAGATGATGGCAGGAGGGTATAAGATCTCAATCAGGAGGAACATGTTTTGTTTTGTCTTCATCTCTATTCAACAACACACTGAATAGCATTGATAATAGAGTGTTCACATTTCAAACTTGCAGAGGGTAAATTTTAAATATTCTCATGACAAAACATATTCATTATTTGAGGTAACTGACAGCTATGCTAACTAGCTTGGTTTCATTGTCCCACAGTGTATTTATAAATCATAACATCACTTTGTGTCCCAATATGCAAAATATAATTAATAATAGAATACATTTGAGACTTGCTAAGACAATAAATTCTAAATGACTTCATAGCAAAATATATCCAACATTAGAGGTGACAGATATGTTAACTAACTTCTTTCTTTATTATACATTAAATTCATAAATCATAATGTCATTTTTGTCCCATACACTTATACGATTAAAAATTGCCAACTTCAATAAAAATAAATAAAATGTTACAACCATCAGAATAAATAATAGCAATGACAAGGGAAGCAGGCTGAAATCAGATTGAGAATAATATGGAAACGAGAAAAATCAGTGTAGACATGCAATAGGCTTGCCATTAAAAAAGAGTAATTAAATTAGATTAATTTCATTACTTAAAATGCAAAGATTAATTGTGAAAGTAACTTTGAAAACAACTTAAGAGCTTGTTTGTGTGAGAAATAAAAATGTCATAACAATAGCTCTCAGAACACAACACAGGGCCCCAAAAGATTTGTGTGGAACTCAGTCCATGGCTTTTTAGGTGAAAGGTAACCACTTGGGAACATCTTCAGAGGTTACTTTGTTTTGATCTTTTAGTTTATACACTTCTTAACTCACCTGTCAACTGCTCTACCCAGTTGAGCATTACAAAACTCTAGTGGCTGTGTCTTCATTGGCTCCAGCCAGTGTTACAGCTGAAAGGCTGAAACAGGAAACATTTCTTTACTCACAGTTCTAAAAGTTGAGAACTTTGAGGTCAAGACAGATGCAATGTCTTTGGAGGTCCATTTTTCTGGTTCTGACAATAGAAGAGAATTAAGCTCCTTGGGATCTGCTTTATAAGGGCACTTATCCCTCCCTTCAGGGCTCCACACTCCTATCTCATCATCTCCCAGAGAGTACTCCTCCAAATACTACCTATCACTCTGGGGCTTTCAACATATGGATTTAGAGAGGAAACAAAGACCGCATAGCACAGTGGGAAAATATTCGTTTCTTAAATTCTTTATAAAAATAAATGATCACAGAGGGCAGTCACTATGGGATTCAAATGAAGAAACAAGGAAAAGGGTGAACATGGGATTGGACGATTCAGCTCCCTCCATCTGCGCAATGCAAGAAACAATGTTCTTCCTGTTTATGTCTGTTATTCTCTCTCCCCTTTAAATTGACTAAATAAATAAATAAATGACTACTTTTGCATAAGGTGAAAACAATTAGGTAAAGTAAAATGATATGTTGGTTCTGGGTCTTTTTTCTGAATGTTGTTTTGTTTTAAAGTATAAAAAACGATTATTGGTTCTATTATCTAGTTTTAAATGAATGCTTATGAAATTCCTAATATTATATCCTGGTGAACTTTAATTCTGATAAAAAACCCCAGCACAAATTTTTCAGTCTTTACTCCACTCTGTAAATGCCTTTACCCACAAGGGCTAGTCCTATACCTAGCCATCATACCAGCAGAAACCCTAAACTTATCACAATCTCACTGTGGTCAGAATGTTTACGGACTCTGGTCTGAGATCCAGGGTCTATTCCTCTACCCTTTTCACATCAAACACATTAAAGATCAAATGAAACTGATATCTTAGCGAGCCTTGCTCTGATTTTGTTCTTCTTCCAGTCTGTTGTAATTTCCTAGGTAGATTGAAACAAAAAGGATTGTTTCAAAGTGCTTGCCTCAAAGGTTATCTGGTGACACAAGAGAAGTAGACAATAGCCAGAGTGGTCCAAATATTAAAATGTGCATTCTACACACAGCTCTCTAAATGATGCCATTCAGTAAAGAAGCACAGTAGCATATAGTAGTGTGAGAGGACCAACGAGTTGTGTGATAGAAGGGCCACCACACTGCATAGCTGGACCCGTCTGACTTTATTTTCACTGCACATTCTATACCATACATGAATTCTCATGCTACAGCCTCCCTCTAAATTGCCTGTCTCTGTCACCCACTGTCTAGTGACCATCGTTTTTTCCCTTAATATTTATTTATTTTTAGTTTTAAAATATTTTTAATTTAAAAAAATTAAAATATGATTACATCATTTCCCTTCTTCCATTTCTAGACAAGGACCACTATAGAAAAATGAAACCAATCAAAGTGCAGAATTGACAAACCCAGTTCCAATAGATACATCTACAAAGCACTTCTGCACCGAAGGGTCAGGGAACATCACAGAAGAGGGGGCAAAAAGATGGTAAGAGCCAGTGGATGAAAGAGTTTGCTATGCGATTTTGTTGCCCAGTAATATCAGAAGCTATACCCACAAAGCCTCATCAGCTTGAATGCTCAAATGTGAACTCAACAAGAACAATGCTATGGGAAAAGCTCACGAGGCCTCAACCCTATGCAAAGAACTACAAGCAACTGAGAAAAGCTGGGAGTGGAAGAAGTAGTCTTCCCTGGGGAAGGTTACACCAATTGGTTTTCCAGGGCCAAATGGTGAGTCCTAAAAACATATGTATAAGTAAGATCATATGGACTAAGCAGGTTATATTTAGGAGTATGTCTATATAAACATATATCCATGAAAAAACAATTAGTGGAAAAAAGAGAAGCCATAGATTTGAAGGAGACTAGGAAGGGGCATATCAGAGGGTTTGGGAAGAGAAAAGGTTGAGGAGAAATGGTATACTTAAATTATATATATAATTATGTCATTTTCCCTCTTACCTTTCCTCCTTCCAACCTTCCTTATGTATCCCCCTTTGCTCTTTCTCTCAAAGTCATTGTCTCTATTTCTTTAACAACAGTTACACACACACACACACACACACACACACACACACACACACACATATATATATATATATATATATATACATATATATATATATATATATATATATATATATATATATATAAAACCTAGTTTTAGTTGCAAATATATTCC